ACACCATTAACATTTTTCTGTAATGTTTTATCACATGGATCTACCATCATTTAACACAAGTCTTTCTTGAACGTGATGTTTATTGCCTGCTTTTAATTATAAAAATATTGAACAACTCAAATATCTCTCTTTTGTTTCCTTCAGATAATTCTGACAACTTTGTTAATGATCCGTTTTCAGAACACAGAAGGAATCTAGAGATGAATGTAAATTCGTCCTTTGAGCCCTTCCTGTGAACTTGCTACATTTTTTTTATCATCAAGTCTCCAGTGTTTGCAGAGAGAGGGTTAGCTGATTATTAACCCAAATTCAGTCTAAAACATACAATTTTCAATCACAGCTTTAAGGAAACCCACAAGGGTACATTCCCAAACTGCAGCGCTGAAGAGCAGCTTGTTTACCAGTTGCTGAAAACTATTTTCTGAGGATATCTATTTTGTTTTGTCTGGAGTGCCAAATGTTTGAAGCTTTCACATTTACAATTATGATGAAAACTATCAATATCAAAAGAAAAAGAAATCCTAAAAGTAGTCCCTACCACAAACTGGGTTTTACCCAATTATGGAAGAGTTGTCACAGCGTATCTGGGGAGAGGCAGGCCACCAGGGGCTCTCTCTCCCCTCGCTCGCCCTTACCACATGTGCCCACACGCACACACACACCCCTAAGAAACTAAATAAGACCAAAGGGGTCAAATGCCAGGACATTAGAGTCATGTCATTTTGGTTTTAAATGGAAAATCAGTCCTGTAGTCATTTTCTGACCTTAGGGAAAAAAAGCAGGCCGGGGATGGTAGCTCACACCTGTAATCCCAGCACTCAGGGAGGCCAGGGCAGGAGGATCTCTCGAAGCCCGTAGTTCAAGACCAGCCTGGGCAACATATCAAGAACCCATCTCTACAAAAACATTTTGAAAATTAGCTGGGCACAGTGGCGTGTGCCTGTAGTCCCTGCTACTCAGGAGGCTGAGGTAGGAAGATTGCTTGGGCCCAGGAGTTTGAGCCTGTAGTGAGCTATGATTGCACCACTACACTCCAGCCTGAAGAACAGAGATTCTGTCTCAAAAAAAGAAAAAGAAAAAAAAGAAAGGAGAAAAGAAAAAAGGTCAGGCATAGTGGCTAAAGCCTGTAATCCCAGCACTTTGGGAGGCCAAGGTGGGCAGATCACCTGAGGTCAGGAGTTCGAAACCAGCCTGGCCAACATAGCAAAACCCCATCTCTACCAAAAATAGAAAAATTAGCCAGGCACGGTGGTACACGCCTATAATCCCAACTACTCGGGAGGTTGAGGCATGAGAATCACTTGAACCCAGGAGGCAGAGGTTGCAGTGAGCCAAGATCGCACCACTGCACTCCAGCCTAGGCAACAGAGCGAGACTCCATCTAAAAAAAAAAAAAAAAAAAAAAAAGCCATCTTGGCATCATGTTTGCAGTGAGATTCAAATCAGTCACTCAGTTGCTGTCAGACGTCCCTCAGGGTGGATTGTTTAGTACCACTGCCGGGCTTCAAGGATCCTAGCACACACTAAATCCTAGTTCAAACTTAGACCCTCAGAATTTCCTCCAGCCCTGCCTGAAACTGTCTTCATCACTGTCCATTCCTGGGCCCCTTGTTGGATAAGAGTGTTTCTATCCAACCCTCCTGTCCTCCGGGCTCTGGTCTATGAGCCATCCAGTACCAACCAACCCTTTGCAGACATTTCTGTGGCTCAGGGACGCAACAAGCCCTATCTCCCCCTCTGTTATTTCGTCTATCACATTCGTATTAAGCCTGAAGAATGTTGGTCAGTCAGTCATCTGCCTTTGGGCTAGCTGGACTGCAGCTGGTTTCTGAAGTTTTTCAATCTGGCTTAGTTTTACCCGTGAGTGGGTGACCTCAGAAGTAGGCACCATTAATGAATTTCCTGTGAGGGCCAGGAATAGAAGTGAGCCTCTTTCTGTTTCAACGCCTTATTCATTTCTGGGTGATGCCCTGACAGTTAGACACTTTCACTCAGGGCGAGACAACAAATGTCTCCTGAGCTCAGTGCACAGCCAAGCCTTCCTGAGCTCAGCGAGCAGATCTGGCTGTTTCCCCAGTTTCGCTCTGTAATTTATCACTTAGGTAACCTTCAGCTGGTGGGTCTCTGCGACTCCTGTCTTTACAAGGTCAATAATATTTTAAATACACATGAAGGCAAACTGACATGATTCCCTCCAAGAAAAAGAGGCTTATCATTTCAGTCCCAGAAAGCCTTTATGTATTTATTTATTTATTCATGGAGAAAAAAGAGAAGTATGAGGATTCAATACTGCATAGTTTATTGATCAGCAAACTTTTCTTTCATCTTTTGCTTTGTAAACATTTGAGACTGGAATGTGCTGCTGCAGAAATACCAGCTTCTAAACCCTGGTCTCTGGCTTTGCCAGCTGAGCAGAGTTGAGAGCTAATGACATCAAAGTGAGAAGTCCACCAAAGTGGCACAGAATCTATCCCCTTGTCCTTCAAGTAGCCATGGGCAATGAGAAGGACCAGGAGAGAAAACAGAAGCATCTGCATCTCTACCCAACTTCCAGAAGAGCAGCAAAGACTACCACATACAGAGAGTGAACTGGTGGCCCCTGTCCACATACAAAGGATGTACTGGTGGCCACTGTCTGCATACAAAGGATGTTATCCTTGGGTGTGGAGTATGGAAGTGGGAACCAAAGGAAAATCAGCAATGCCTGTGTTCTTCATTAGGGATCGTTAAGTAATTTGCCCTACATTAGGATCTGCAATATCGCACATGGCCTATTCTTAAGTGGCCGTTTTGGAACTGACTTGTCTAGACTGTGTAGCACCGGTCCTCATCACCTTCCTAAAATCTGTGCAAGTGAGTTTTATGCTGGTCTCAGAGGGAGAATTGTCTTTCCTTTTTTTAAATCTGGATGTTTGAACTCTTTCTAAGTGTCTTACAAAATTATCATCTGTTACATGAAATTAAACTTGGCTTGAGGATGCCTTCATACTTCTGAGTCGTTACGTAATGGATTGCCACCTCACTTGGGACATGAATTAACTGAAAGCCTAATTTGGGAGTATACTTTGGCAACAAAGGGTTGAGTCTCAGCCAGTCACAACAACCAAGCTTCAGTCAATCGCAGGTGGCTAACTGATCAGACCATGTTCAAATAAGGTAAACGCTGAGCCGTAACCAGTCCAGCTGCTTCTGTACCACGATCCCATTCCCCCTCCATATATGCTGCCTGCCCGTGGTTGCAGAACGGTGCTCTCTCCGCCCTTTCTGGTTCTGGTTCTGAGTGAGGACCACCCCATTCTCACACTGTTCTTTGCTCAATTAAACTCTGTAAATTTACTTTATCTAAAGTCTTTATTTTAACACTTCAAAATTCTTAACTATTTTAAAGCCTATTTTAGCATACTTTGCCAAATATCATAGGATGAGTTACACTCCACATTCAATCCCATATATCTGGTGAATGTACTGCAATGTGGAAAATCTATAGTGCGTCTATAGATTTTAACATCTTACTCTGCGAAGGTCTTAAAAAACAAAATGTGTGTAGAATCATAGTGAGAATGTCCATTATCATGCTCTAGAACTGCATAGTTTATTGATCAGCAAACTTTTCTTTCACCTTTTACAAAGGTGATGTTTTTAAATTTATAAAATTTAAAATTGAGCTAAGTTAGTTTTTTTTGTTTTGTTTTGTTTTTGAGATAGAGTCTTGCTGTGTCACCCAGGCTGGAGTGCAATGGTGCAATCTCGGTTCACTGCAATGTCTGCTTCCTGGGTTCAAGGGATTCTCGTGCCTCAGCCTTCCGAGTAGCCAGAATTACAGGCGTGCGCCACCATGCCTGGCTCATTTTTGGATTTTTAGTGGAAACGGGGTTTCACCATGTTGGCCAGTCTCAAACTCTGGTCCTCAAGTGATCCACCCGCCTCAGCCTCCCAAAGTGCTGGGATTACAGGTGTGAGCTACCACACTGGCAAAATTGAGCTAATTTGATTTAAAGTTACTCATCACAAGTATCAACTTTAGGCTAAGCAAGTTATTTATCTCTGAAGTTTTGTAAAAATGCTTAAGCAGAACCAAGATATTGGAAGCAGGCAGGCAGCATGGAAGGAGTAAACACGTTCTTTGCAGTCAAGTATTAGAACCCTGGTTACCTCTCCAGTGGTTGTAAATCTGGGGAAACCTTACTTTTCCTGGATCCTCAGATTCCCTGTTTGTAAATTTTGGTTAATAATGCTTATCTTGCAGAATTTGTTAGGATATATAAGATGCTATGTGAACAGAAGCCAGCACAGTGAATGCAATAACAGGCATTCAACAAAGAATGAATGTAATCAATAATATTTCAACAAGAAGTCCATTATACATTCAGTACTGAAGTTCAGTGCTACCTGTTGGAAAGTTATAGGCCTACCTTACCAATAATATTTATCTGGAATTTATCTCTCCTTAACAGATCTATGATGAGAAATGTTTCTTGAGCCATTCATTGTATTAATTTGATTAATATTCATGACTTTGGCATGATTACTTCTTTTTTTTTTTGAGACAGAGCCTTGCTCTGTCGCCCAGGCCAGAGTGATCTCGGCTCACTGCAACCTCTACTTCCCAGGTTCAAGCAATTCTTCTGCCTCAGCTTCCCAAGTAGCTGGAATGACAGGCACCTGCCACCACACCTGGCTAAGTTTTGTATTTTTTAGTAGAGACGGGGTTTCACTATGTTGGCCAGGCTGGTCTCAAACTCCTGACCTCGTTATCTACCTGTCTTAGCCTCCCCAAGTGCTCGGATTACAGGGGTGAGCCAGATTGCTTTCTTAACCATAATATAGCACATCATCAACTCTGCTTAGACACTTTTGTATGCTTTCTTTTCCATCATTTTATTACTTTTTCAACTTAGGTGACTTCAGAATCTTTTACCCCTTAGGCTGAAACATTGGTATCAAAAGACATCTGAAACTGATACAAATTTCTAATGCTTATGCTTTTATTCTAAAATTAGGCCTCAGAAGTTTCTAGAAACAGAGGAGCCTCTTTACTGGCCAGGCCAGGACACAGCTTAGTAGCTGCTATTCGAAGCCAACATCAACATGAGTCATTGCCACTGGGTATGTATCATGCTTCTTTGAGCCAGGGGCTCACAGAATACCAACACCTAGCCTTGATTTTTTGTTTGTTTTTCTGGTTTTTGTCAAAAAGCCTTTACTACTCAACATTCTGTGTTTCCTTTCTCCTCTTTTAGGATATAGTGCATTCCCTGACCCCTGCTCCCATTCTCCCCTCTGTCCTTTTCCCCTCTCCCTTCCTCCTCATCTCTCTGTTCCCCTCCCTCTCTTTTCTATTCTTTCCCAAACTCGTAGGTCCTTTCTTCCTTACTCTGTTCAGTGATTTGTTAACCCCGTGCACAAGAGCATGGTTTAAATAGGGAGGTGAATTTTACTGTTGCTAGACAGTTTTTAATGTATACCTCTCTTTCCACGTATGTATGGCATAAAGTTTGCAGTCTCCATTCCTAACTTCAGCCACCTCTTTCCAAAACATATGCCACTGGTATCAAGGAAAATGAAATGAGAGCATCTAAAAGGCGTTTCCATTATCACTACTGGGAAATCAACACATGGATTTCTTTTCACTCATAAAGAATCTTTTACCGTAACTGTGGCAAAATGACCAAGAAAAGTTAGAAGGAAGGGAGGAGAACTCCTCTTCTGGGAGAGCTATTTTGTTCTCCTTTACCTGTTCATGCAGAGATGCATTAATACCCAGTAAAGATCCTGAAGCGTTAAGGACGATTAACATAGATCTGGTTCACTTTTGGTTTGATCCCTTAAAAAATTATAATGCTATTATGTCACATTTTAAAAACTTTCAAGAGCTTGCATTTTTTTGATGAGTATGCTGCCTGCCCTTCAAACGCCTTCATTAATCCTGGTATCAAGCAGCCATTTTCCAATCATCAGAGTGATTATCTCTGGGCTGCAGACTCAACCACAACTCTGTGCTTTTGTCTGTTTCAGCATATAATGACAAGATTGTGGCATTTCTTCGCCAGCCAAACATTTTTGAAATGCTGCAAGAGCGTCAGCCAAGCTTAGCAAGAAACCACACACTCAGGTAAGCCTCGCCCCTCACTCCCTGGAACTCTAGGTCTTTGCAGCCATTTTTCCTGGTGGGAAAACACCTCTGTGGAGAAAGAGCAGAAGCTTATTATGCATTCTTTTTGTGCATTTAAACGAGAACTTGAATCCTCAAGATGAAGGGTTCGGGGTTCCTGTATTCTGGGAAATGGCATCATCAGAGATGGTCATATTATCAGATTACGTATCATTTATATGGTACTGAAATGATTTCCATTGACTTGGAGGAAAGGACAGGAAGGAAACAAAATAGCTTCCATTAAAAAATTATTTATGCACAGCACCATGTAAATTACTTTTAGTTTTGAAATATAATTGTTGAATGGTAAACCAAATATTGAGTGGTCATGTTCGAAAATAAACAAGCAAACAAAATGTTTCCTGTGTGTTCTAACTACTTACATCTTATTCTTCATCAGGGTCATTTTTGAACAAGTGCCCCTGAAACTCTGAATCACTTCATGTGGAAGGGATAGCGATCTAAAATGATAAAAAGAGAAAATATTGCCCGAACTTAAATCCTGCTTTCTCACCAAAATATTCACACATCTTTTTGCTTTGGTTTACTCTGCGACATTCCAAAAACTGGAGAGGCATGGGGGTTAAGAGCACATCCCTTTGACATTTGAATTCTTACTCCAACAGGTAGGGACTATTGATGGAGGTGTGTTATTCAACCCTCTGCCCTTAGTCTCCCAAATGGAGGTCACAAAGTGGGCATGGTTGCGATACTTACATGAGGATGTGTAAAGGTTAAGGCAGGGCAAGCGAGAATCCCAGCAATGGCTGCATTTCATTCTTCCCTGCCCATGTGGTGCAGTCTTGTGAATGGGGCTGATACCTGTGATACTCTACTCTGACTTCCTCGGGGAATCGCTAACAGCTTCAAGTAGGCTCTTTGCTTTTCAACCCTTGCCACTCCTGCCAGAATGGATCATTCACCATTCTTTCCCCTCCAGCACCCCCTCTTTGACACCTCTTTTCCCTGTATTTTCACTCTGTAAATTAGAGCCACTACCCTCCCAGCTGTCCCTGATCTCCTCTCCTCCCTCTTCTTCCACCTCCACATCTAAACATTCACCTCCTCATACTCTCTCCTCCATCCTCGTTTTCTCTTCTCCCTGCCATGGTTCAAGTTTAGGTGCTCATCGTTTCTCTTCTGGACCATACAGGGGTTTCTCCTAAAATATTCCCTATCACCCTATCATAACCAAGTGGCCTACTTAAAGCATAGATTAAATCATGTCCTCCCTACCCTTCAAGAAAGCTTTCATGGTTTCCATCACATACGAAATAAAGTCAATATTTTTGTTTGTTTGTTTTTGAGACAGAGTCTTGCTCTGTTGCCTGGGCTGAAGTGAGGTGGTACAATCTCAGCTTACTGCAACCTCCGCCTCCCAGGTTCAAGCAATTCCTGAGCCTCAGCCTCTTGAGTAACGGGGACTACAGGCACGTGCCACCACACCCAGCAAAATTTTGCTAATTTTTGTATTTTTAGTAGAGATGGGGTTTCCACCATGTTGGTCAGGCTGGTCTCAAACTCCTGACCTCAAGGGATCCACCCATTTCAGCCTCCCAAAGTACTGGGATTACAGGTGTTAGCCACCTTACCCAGCCTGAAGTCAAGATTTCTAAGCACAATGTCCATGGTCTCCAAAGTCTGGCCCTAACCTAACTCTCTATCCTATGCTAAGCTTTTCCTTCACCACCTCCACCACACAGGCTGTGTACCCTCCTGCCTTTGTCTTTCCGGGAATGACTTCCCTGTTAAGGACCTCTCATCCCATTTTAAAGGCTCAGATCAAAAGCAAAAATTTGGTGATCTAGGCAGGCTTTAGTATTTCTTTTCTTTGGCAGGGGTGGGAACTTCCTGATGTTGCCAAGGCATTTGTGGTTTTTTTTGGTTTTTTTGTTTGTCTGTTTTTAATTTTTTTATTATACTTTTATGTTCTGGGATAAATGTGAAGAACGTACTGGTTTGTTACATAGGTATACATGTGCCACGGTGGTTTGCTGCACCCATCAACCCATCATCTACATTAGGTATTTCTCCTAATGCTATCCCTCCCCTGGCCCCCTATCCCCTGACAGGCCCTGGTGTGTGATGTTCCCCTCCCTGTGTCCATGTGTTCTCATTGTTCAGCTCCCACTTATGAGTGAGAACATGCAGTGTTTGGTTTTCTGTTCTTACGTTAGTTTGCTGAGAATGGTGGTTTCCTAGTATTTCTTTTGTCCTGCTTTGATAGCATGCTTTTTGTGCCTCAAAGATATTTTTAGATCTCTCGTATTCTGTCATTTACTTGTGTCTCCCTACAGCACTCTAAGCTCTTTAGAGCAAGGCCTTTCTCTTCCTTGTCTTTGTGCCCACTCTGCCCCTTAGAACCGGGTCCTCTACTTTGAAACTAGGAAACACCAATTACTTTTAGAGTGAATGAAAGATCTTTAGCATGAACCAATGATCTTTAGCGTGATGAATGGTCACTTTCTTTTATGTTCAACTCTTAAGAAGTCTCTCCCCAAGTTTCATTACTGTACTGCTGCAGAAGACAGGGTCATATTCAACCGCCTGGGCCATTCATTCATGGACTGCTCTTTGACTCACCTAACAACCTAAGGGAATTTTCAAGGGATTTCCAGGGGAGTTGTATTATCTTAAGGGTTTTTGACGCATGGTTGTTCTTGAACATTCTTTACATTACTGATTCTACCACTAAGTAGTGAGTTCACTGCTTGCTTTTTGGAAGAATTTCAACTCACCAAAGACACAAAAGTCTCATTTTAATCATTAGAAAAGTTTTTTTTTTTTTTTTAAGTAATTCCCGATATAAATGAGTGGAATGTATTTTCAAAGGGCAGTAAACTGTTTGCAGCCCTATCATATATCACATTATAACAAAATCCAAGAAACTTTAAATGTTTTGTTGCAATATGGGATTGTACAATTATGATTTTGCAGAGCTGGGGTAACTTGAAATCGAGCCACGTTGGAATTGGAAAAACAACTTGGAAATTATCTAGTATAGAAACTAATAACCTATTTTAAGGTTATGGACTCCTTTGAGATGCATATGGAAGCTCTTTTGGACTCTCCTCCACATATAAATATAAACCTCTGAATATAATTTCAAATAGTTCATGGACCCTAAAGAAACTGTGGACCCAGGTTGAGAACCCAAATATTTCATCAAAAACAGAAGGCTCACAATGACTATCAGAAACTAGACTATGTGATGATAGAATTTAAAAAGCAGAAAGAAAAGAGCAAGAACTTGTTCTTCAGGAGGTCAAGCTTAAGAGATGCAGGAAGCCGGGCCCTGCTCTCCATGACGAGGCCTCCACCTGCCCCTGAGTACCACGTCAGGGTGAGTCAGATCCACTTGGAAGGTTCAGGAGTTGAAGAGAATACCACTCTCCTCAGGACCCCACCCGGAAGAACTCGTGGCTTCCTCTGTGGTCCCCAAGAGCAGATGGTGACCTCTGTTCAGCCATTGCTGTTCTCAGGGAGTCATGGAGTCTCTGTCTTGGGTCCGCAAAGCCAGTTGCTGGGTTTGAGTATTTAGAAAACTGTCCAGTTGACAGCAGTGACTTGCAGTGAAAGGCAGGAAGCCACATGTAGAGAAGGGGATGGAGCCAGAAAACCCAGAGGTTAGTGGCATCTGTCATCTTTAAGGGGCATGGAGGCGGTCCTTCAACTAGTGCTTTGATTGTGTCACTCATCTGAATCAGGATTGTCCCAGGGCTACGTATGCAGTAGCAAGCAAAACAGACATGTACATTCCCAATGAATTTGCAATCTATGGAGGGAGACAGATAATAGACAAGCTTGGGGTTTGTTTTTTTAAGCCAAATATACAGCTACATAATATGTTAAGTGCCATGAACATGATTAGAATTCAGCAATAGTGGAGAATATGCTGGTACAAAGGAAGAGGACTTACATCCTAAACAGAACGCAGGGAAGGCTTTTCCAAGTAGGTGGTGCTTAAGCTGAAACGTGAAGGATGAGAAGGCAAGGTCCCTTGAGATGCAAAGTAGAGATCAGGGAGAGAGTATGCAAAGGCCCTGAGGCAGGAAAAGCTTAGACCTAGGTGAAGAATGGAAGAAAGCTAGTGTGGCGCAGGGGTAGATTGGGAGGGTAGGCGAGACCTACCATGGTGAAGTTGGAGAGGGAGGCCCTATCACCAACAGGAAAGATTTTATTTGAATTGCGATTCTATTTGAGAAGTTTTCCACTGGAAAGAAATAGGATTGCATCTGTGTTTTTAACGACCACAGCTGCTTTTTCATGACCTTTTTCGTCTGTTTTTCATGACCACCGATGAAATATGATTGCAGCTGTGGTCATTAAAAACACAGATGCAATGTTTGGGCAGCTTTGTGGGGAAAAGATAGGCTGGGGAGGGGCATAAGATGGAACAGGGGCTATGCAGGAGACTATTATATTCATCCACGTGAGAGATGATGGTTGTGTGGATAATGGGAAAATATGGATGAAGAGAAGGGAGCAGTTTGGGGTGATACTGTGGATGCAAAAACAACAGGAGCTGATGACAGCTTGAACATGGTGGGTGAGGAGAAGAGAGCAATTAAGAATGACAGCCAAGTGTGGGGCTTGCGCAGGTGAGTGGATAATGGTGTCATTTACTGAGATGGGAAAGACTGGAGGAGGAACTGGCTTGAAGAGAGGAAGAATGTCAAGGATTTCATTTTGGATATTCAGTTTTGAGGTCTTTGAAGCCACAAGTGGCTTCAAATGTCAGGATGTCAAGAAGACAGGCGCCTGTCCTGTCCTGAGCTCTAGGGAAAGTGTGCTCCGGAGTTCTCCTGACGGTCAAGGGATATATGTAGGAGAGACAGCCGGCATTCTCACCCTCAGATGTCTTCCCCAGTTCTCAATGCACTTTGGGATGGAGTTCCGGGGGCATCTGGAGCTCCCTCACACCACTGGCTCTGCATGAAATGTTGCTAGACATGACAGAGAATATAATGTCTGATGGGAGAGCCACCAAAACTCTCAGACAATTGTGCTTAGCATTCAGACACCTGGATGTGGTCCATACGGTGGTGCCACGATAGAACCACTGCACTAGGTGGCACTTTCTAAACTGGGGACTGCACTTTGCTGCCCTAGTGGAGATGGCCCTCTCTGGGCTTCTTTTTCCTCCAGGAAGGGAGGCCAGGGGCTTAACCAGGAGGATAACCTGCCCAGGGGGACATTATCATTGGCAGAGCATATAAATTTGAGGTCATTCATAAGGCCAAAGTCATTAAATTAGAGACGATTCAAGAGCATCTTCCAAACAACAGGGCTGTGAGGTAGTGTCAGGATTTGGAGGAGAAAGCCCAGGGCTGGGGTCAAGGACATAGGCAGAGGGAGAAGAAGGTGACAAGAGGGATGGGGATGTTCTGTTCTCTTGGCTGGGTTTCCACACGTTCCCTGCTGAATGACATGTGGACAGTGCTGCTCCCTTTTTCAAACCCCCATCAAAGAAGCCACTGTGAACACCCCCTAGGTTCTGGTGATGCCATTTCCTGCAACGGTGCTTCACCCGCACTGAAGTTGGATCAGAGTGCATGTCCCTGTTTAATCCCATTCTGTCTATCTTTGTAGAGGCTCAAAATCTTCCCTTGCCTTAAAAAAAAGATCTCCGTGCCAAAAGGTCAAATTGATTATATTTTTTGCCTGAAAATCTCTAAGTTATGGTGAAGATTTGGATTTATATTAATACAATCAAAGAGAGGAAAAAGTTGTATCTGCAGTATTTTGGAAAATATACATATATTTTTTAATCATTCATCTTTTGGGCCAGGCGCAGTGGCTAATGCCTGTAATCCCAGCACTTTGGAGGGCTGAGGCGGTCGGATCTCTTGAGCCTAGGAGTTCAAGACCAGCCTGGGCAACATGGTGAAACCCTGTCTCTACTAAAAATACAAAAATTAGCCAAGCCCGATGGTGTGTGTTTGTAGTCCCAGCTACATGGGGGAACTGAGGCAGGAGGATCACTGGAGCCTTGGGAGGTTGGGGCTTCAGTGAGCCATGAACAGGCCACTGCACTGCAGACTGAGTGACAAAGTGAGACCTTGTCTCAAAAAAATGATTTCTTTTTTAAAGAAAATACAAAAAACTAGCTGGGTGTGGTAGTGCATGCCTATAATCCCAGCTACTCAGGAAGCTGAGGCACAAGAATCGTTTGAACCCAGGAGGCAGAGGTTAGTGAGCTAAGATTGCACCACTGCCTCCAGCCTGGGCAACAGAGCAAGACTCTGTCTCAAAAAAAAAACAAAACAGAAGAAAATAAAATCATCCATCTTTTACCACTGGGAGAAACTGAGTGAGGGGTATACAGGATCTGTCTGTTTATTTCTTATAATTACACATGACTCTAAAATTACCTCAAAGTAAAAATTAAAAAAAGAAAAAAGTTAAAGATTTTTAAAAAACAGATCCTTAATTTTCCCTGATTTCTACTGCATCTCTTCAAAAAAGGCAAAATATATTAACTCCTTTAAAGCGTGCATACAATAGAAAGATTCTGGGTATGGTGTTTGTAATATTTGAATAACGTCAGGCAAGCAAATTAAAAAGTTAATTTGATCCAAAAACTCCTACTTATCCATAGACATACTTGAAACAATTTGCCGAGTTGGAGTTGGAGGTTGTCTAAAAGGATCAGAATAGACGAAGTTGTAGCTAACAGAGACAAAATTGATGCCTGTGCCTTGACTGACCTGGGAGACTGTTCTTGGTTCTTGGGGCCGGGCCCCCTCTGTGCCCAATGTGGCATTATAAATTTTCCATCAGGCACAAGATTTCTCAAGAGACACCCACCCGCCAGTTCACTCTTTCTTCCCATGGCTTCCAACATGACATGAGCCCAGAACAGTCTCTTTTTTTTTTTTTTTTTGAGATGAAGTCTCACTCTGTTGCCCAGGCTGGAGTGCACTGGCATGATCTCAGTTCACTGCAACCTCCGCCTCCCGGGTTCAAGCGATTCTCCTGCCTCAGCATCCTGAGTAGCTGGGATTACAGGCAGGCACCACCACGCCTGGCTAATTTTTGTATTGTTAGTGGAGACAGGGTTTCACCATTATTTCTCAGGCTGGTCTCGAACTCCTTACCTCGTGATCTGCCCGCCTTGGCCTCCCAAAGCGCTGGAATTACAAGCGTGAACCACTGTGCCCGGCCCCAGAACAGTCTTTCAGGAGCCGTCTCTTACCCAGCTCCACTCCTGACTGTCTTAGCTACCTGAGGACCTAACTTTGCTGTGTTCCTCAGCTTCCGTACCTGTGCAAGTCTGTAGAAAAGCCATCCATTATAGAGCATCCTGACAGCCTGTGATACGAGCTTAGAATTCTGCAAAATACATGGGACGTTAGGACATTGCTATTCAGCAGTATTGGAAGAGGAAATAAGAGATCCGAAGAAGATGTATTCCTGAGCTTATGTGTTGGCGTCTAATTTTCCTCTTCTTTCTCGCATGATTCAGGGAGAAAATCCATTACATTCGGACTGAGGGTAATCACGGGCTGGAGAAGTTGTCCTGTGATGCAGATCTGGTCATTTTGCTGAGGTAAGGGGCTAGGCCTGAAATCCTTCTGGAAAAGCTTCCCTGGGCAGCTCTCCTCCGTCACGACCACCCTGAAAATGGCCTAGACTCACTCACTGCTTGTTCTAGAGGATTCTAGTAACTGCAACGCAAATGGGGCCCCACCCTTGTACCCGTGTCCATCACAGTCCTTAGATTTGCCAACTGAGGTAGCAAGAGCTGCCTAAAGTACTTGATGGAAACATTGTTTTAGGATTAATCAGGGTTTAAAACAACACTGAGAATTTGCAAGCGGGATGTACCCATCTTTCTATAATACATTTAAATCTAATTGCTTTTGTTGCTTTGTGAGAACTGTAACTGCTGCTACCCCAATTCATGAACACTTTCCCAGGGACGTAAAACTGACTTTTCTTTTTCTTTCTTTCTTTCTTTCTTTTTTTTTTTTTTCATTTGCAGTCTCTTTGAAGAAGAGATTATGTCCTACGTCCCCCTGCAGGCTGCCTTCCACCCTGGGTATAGCTTCTCTCCTCGCTGTTCACCCTGTTCTTCACCTCAGAACTCTCCAGGTAACAGGAATCTGGCCTAATAGCTCCTGTTAAGTGGCCATGTGTCTCCTCCAGTGAAGGTGAATGAAAGGCAACTGTATGTGTGTGTTCTTTCTCTTGGCCTTCCCAATTCCCTAATTGAAAATGCACTCTATCAGGTTTTGACAAATGGCTGCCTGTTTTTTGTAATGCCCCCCGAGCAGAATGGGGTTTACAGTTTGAAATGGTTGGGAAAAAAAAATTTTTGCTGGGCAGGTGTCTCATGCTTGTAATCCCAGTGCTGTGGGAGGCCAAGCCAGAAGGATCATTTGAGCCCAGGAGTTAAAGGCCAGCCTGGGCAACATAGCAAGATCCCCTTCTCTACAAAAAAATTAAAAATAAGCCAAGTGAGGTATAAATAAGCCAAGTGCCTATAGTCCCAGCTACTAGGGAGGCTGAAGCAGGAGGGTTCCTTGAGCCCAGGAGGTTGAGGGTGCAGTGAGCTGTGATTTCACCACTGCACTCCTACCTGGACAACAAAGAGAGACCCTATCTAAAAAAAAAAAAAAGAAAGAAAGAAAGAAAGAAAAAAAGAAAAAAAAATTAAGACAGTATTTTATGACACATGAAAACTGTACGAAATTTAAATTGCGATGTCCGTAAATAAAGTGTAATTGGACCCCAGCCATGCCTGTTCTATGCTAGCTTTCACACCAGACATGAGTAATAGCAACAGAAACCACATGGTCTGCAAAGCCTAAAATATTTACTCTCTGGTCCTCTGCAGAAAAAGGTTACTGTCCCTGCTCTAAATTACTATTGCATTCCAAAGTCACTCTCCAAGTATGTCGAAGGGAAGAGCCCTTTCTGAAACATTCTGTCTTGTGACTCTGAATCGACTGCACACCACTTTTGGTGATAGAGCTACTAGGAACCATTGTTATATCTCCACAAAGATTCCAAAGAATTTTCTTACACATTTCAAAATTATTCCCCATTTTCTTTATGTATGAGAATGAACTTGTGGTACAAAAATTCTTTGCAGGTATTTTCCATTCCAAGTGAGGGAATATATATGTTGAACTGTTTAGTGAATAAAAGATATTTTTGCCAGACACAGTGGCTCACGCCTTCAATCCCAGCACTTTGGGAAGCTGAGGTGGGTGGATCACTTGAGCCTAAGAGTTCTTCGAGACCAGCCTGGGCAATATAGTGAGATTGCATCTCTACCAAAAAAAAAAAATTTAAATTAGCCAGGTGTGGTAGTGCACGCCTTTAGTATCAGCTATTCAGGAGGCTAAGATGTGATCTCTTGAACCTGGGAGACAGAGGTTGCAGTGAACCGAGATTGTGCCACTGTACTCCAAGCACTAGTCAACAGAGCAAGACCCTGTCTCAAAAAACAAACAAATGAAAAAAAAGATATTTTCTGGACTCATCAAGATAAAGAGCTTAGGTCAAATCCATACCTCCAGACTGGATCCAGATATTGGAGAATTTTTCCATTCGTATTTGACTTGCATTATCACATCGTTGTAGGTTTCATTTAAAATAAAAGAGATTAGTTTGAAACATCTAGGAACATCCTATCTCACAAGCTCTAGGGCCAGGGTTGGAGCATGGTTTCTGAAGCCAGTGGTGAAATTCCCAAGAGAAACAGAACTTGGCAATAAGCTTTTTCTCTGAGAAGGGATGTCACACTCAGAGTTAGTATCATTCAGTACTGCCGTAGATCTCCAGACTAGAGTATCTTTTAGTCTGGTTCCTCCAAGTTGTAGCATTCAGAACTGTCTCTTAGAGGTAGTTTTGCTAGTCGTTAAAATATGTTTTCAAGATTGTATCTCCCTGTTGTCACTTCCTCCAAACAAGTGTCCCAACAGCATTGTTAAGGAAATGTGCAATGCTTACTACCTCTGACACACAACATAATTAAGATCCCCTTGCCTAAGGGGACCAGGAGCTTTGCTAGAGCCGACATCAGTACAGCCACACACTTTCAGCGCTCACAGGATGACCTACTTTTGGGGAGCGAAGACAAAAGTAGGGGGTTTTGGGGGAAAAGTCTGAAGAAGCTGTAGGACTGCATGATGGTCTGCCATGTTGTAGAGATTGTCCCAGCCCAATAATGTGCCTATGCTTTGGTCTACAAACTTTGATACTAGACTATGATGTTAACATCATTATATGGGAGAGATATCATACCGCAAATAGAAAAATAAGAGTAAATGAAGAGTTATTTCCTATATGAAAATTATTTGGATATTCTAAAAGGAATAAACTTGCCTGATAGAGATATGACTGATGCCATGAATTTAAGTAATCATCCAATTCATTTTGTCAAAGTATTTCTTTATTCTCTAGCATTGACCACAGGATCCTAGAATATGTAATCCAAATATGTTGATTTTAAACTTTACAATCCCTATTCTCTTAGACCTGTATGAAATCTACCCAGGTGCTACAGAGATGGTGAATCATGAAGTTTATGCCAAAGTACTCTGTAAAGCATAAATTATTTGAGAAATGCACAGCAGTCATCATAGGAACAGGTGACAGTACCAGCAGTAGTGAAAATCATAATTAATAAAATATACTGAAATGTGCTGGATAGAAAATTATACTTGCACTGACAGACCTGTATTCTAGTTCTGTGTACATCCCAAAACCTGGTATTCCAGCAAGACCACTTCTTTGCAAGTGATGGCCATTGGTTCCCTCAGGCCCAGGTGTTGTAGGGCCCAGGTGGGCGCGGCTCCCCATGCTTCCTTGCTTTTACCATTCAGCCATATCCCTCCCCTCCCTTTCTCCCAGTTACTGTCATCTACCAACCTTTTTCTCATTCTCAAGGCCTGTGGCCCCTGCCTTGTGGTCTTCTTCTCCTTCCCAAGCAGGTCCTTCCATCCTCCTGGATGACTTCAACATTGACAGGGACCCTCATTCCGTTCCCTGGCTTCCCAGTCTCTAGACTTTGTCTGCAATGACTTTCTCCTCCCCTGCCTCAACCACTTACTCCCAAAATCACATTCCTGACCTTGTGATCTTCTCCACAATCACTAATTCAAACCTCCTCTTCCCTTCCGATGTGCTTGATCCACTACCCTCCCTAGTACCATCCTTTGGCCTCATCAAGGCCTCTGGTTCATGGACTTTTCTCCTTTCCTTTCTAACGTCTTTCCCTGATGCAGCATAGATTCTGCAGTTCATCATTTCAGTAGCACCCTTGCCAATGCCCTGAACTCCCCTGGCCCTCTCCGCTTTGTTTGCACCCTCTGGCAGAGCTTCATCCCGAGATGAACCTTCTGTCTGCTTCCCCGACTTCTGCAATCAGGCACTCTTGGGCAAATTCACCTCACAAGGCAGATTATTAATTCTAAATTAGTCATCTCTCATCGCACATGAATCTTGAACACCCAAAGGAAAATTCTAGCACATTTTTTTCTATCTCCTCTACTATTATTTCAAACATTTCCCCTAAAGCCTCCAACCTTCAGCACCCCTCCTCTCTCCTAGCAAATGACATCCTGTTTTACTTCACTGAGAAGCTGAAGCCATCCAGCAGAAATTTTCTCAAAGGCCTGCCATCAGACCCACAAGACTAGCAAACCTGCACACATCTTCTCTGTCACACCTGGAGGTCACGAAAGGAGGTATCCTCACTAAGGTCGCCATGAACTCTGGCCACCCAATTTGGCGGGCCATTCTCAGCCACCTAATCTTCAGCAGCCTGTAACATGACCAGCTGCTGTCCCCCAGCATCCCCTCTTCAATTTGCTTCTGGGACACCACTCCTGACATCTCGTCTACTTCCCTGGCCATTCCCGCGGCCTCATCCTCCTCTTCCTATCATCCTTAAGGCTCAAACCCAGGCTTTTTTCTCCACTCAAACTGTGTCTCTCTCCAGACAAAGGGACTATCATCAAAGAAAAAGTTCATACTCTTCCCCCACAAATGTATTCTTTTTCCACTACTCCCCATCTCAGTGAATGTCACCGCAGGGCGTTCAGTTACAAAATCTGAAACCCAACCCTCCCTCACTACCTATATCCAATTCATTGCCTCTTAAATACATCTCCTCTCTGCCCACTTCACTTCATCTCCACTGACACCAGCCTAGTCCCATTTGAGCTCTTTAAATCCACCTTGGTCCTCCGGGGTTTTGTTCTCTTCTGCGGGAAGATGGATGTTTTTATGATTCAAGTGACATCATGCCAGCCGTTATGCAAGGGCTTCCTACTACCCTTACCAGAAAACAAAATTGCTTAACAATGTACCTTGTCCTGTTTCATGCAGTTCCTGCCCACCTCTCAGGCCTTGTTTTTGTACCACTTTGGTCCTTGGACCCTGTGCTCCAGACAAACTGGAGTACCACTTTCCATTTTGCCACAGGACCTTTGCACATGCTGATCTTCCACCTGGAGTGCTCTTCTTCTCCCAGCTCATCTTCTCTCTCAGTTAAAGCAAAGCTTTTCTTGACCCATGCAATCTAATTTGTGCCTATTTATTCTTCAGATTGTCCCCAGAGATGCCTTCCCAGACTTAGCCTGAACTCCCCTGGCCCTCTCCGTTTTGTTTGCACCCTCTGGCAGAGCTTCATCCCTAGATGAACCTTCCTGTCTGCTTCCCCCCCCATTCTGCAATCAGGCACTCTTGGGCAAGCAGCAGATGAGATCACAGCAGATTCTGTGATCTCAACGAACTGGGTTTCTTTCCTTCCTGGATAACAATCATTGTAACTTGTATTATATACTCATTTCTGAGAGTTTACCAGCATCAGTCTTCTCTAAATTGTAAGCTTAGTACCTGGAATATAGTAAGTAACTAATAAATGGTTATTGAATGGGCAAGCCTTGATTCTGACCACCTTTAAAACTCGGGTAAGAATATTAATTTTCCATTCTTTTTTTAATTAAAAGATATATATAGTAAAGTATTTACAAAGCACTCTAAATGAGACAAAAGTTCTCACCTATATAGAGTTAGCGAATTATTATTATTGTAAACTTCACTTTTATGATGCAAGGTCATCTAATATAAACTCTAATCTAATATAAACTCCTAAATGCTCTGAGCCTTTGTGTACAGGTATGTTTATTTGAGCATCAATATCAATACAGGAGCATGACGGACACATATATTAAAGTCCTACTTACCTCATTATAGTTTCAATCACTTCTTGTAGGAACTTACAAGGAAAGTTTAGTTCAGTTTATGTTAATTATTTTAGATTATGCAAGTACAATTAAAGCCAAGAAAAATGCTCATCCAGGTCCTTTTAAGAGAAGTATAACTTGAAAGAATTAGAGAGGAAGACATAAATATTTATTCTCATTAGAACTCATAAATGAATTTAGTATATTATTTTTATACTTTAGTATATTATTTCTATTTATTATAAAAGCCACTGAGAGAGTGATGGAAATCAAGGGACTTCTTGGAGAAGAAGAATATGGAGATGCCAGAATGTGCTTCTGTTGGGCTCTCGCTCTACTGTCACTTTGCATATTTGTTCTTCCACAGAAAGTGATGACCTCATGCCTGTAATCCCAACACTTTGGGAGGCCTAGGCAGGCGAATCACTTAAGGTCAGGAGTTCCAGACCAGCCTGGCCAACGTAGTGAAAGCTCATCTCTACTAAAAATACAAAAATTAACAACAATTAGCTGGGCGTGGTAGTGCACGCCTGTAATCCCAGTACTTTGGGAGGCCAAGGCGGGTGAATCACCTGAGGTCAGGAGTTTGAGACCAGCCTGATCAACATGGTGAAACCCTGTCTCTACTAAGAACACAAAAAATATCAGCAAGGTGTGGTGGCACACACCTATAATCCCAGCTACTCAGGAGGCTGAAGTAGGCGAATCACTTGAACCCAGGAGGTGGAGGTTGCGGTGAGCCGAGATCACACCACTGCACTCCAGCCTGGGCAACGGAGCGAGACTCTTTCTCAAAAAAAAAAAAAAAAAAAGGAGCAGAAGAAGAAGAAGAAAAAGAAGAAAAAAGAAAGTGATGACCTCTGTGTGCTTCTCTCTGCAGGTTTACAGAGAGCCAGCGCAAGAGCCCCTTCCCCCTACCGGAGAGACTTTGAGGCCAAGCTCCGCAATTTCTACAGAAAACTGGAAGCCAAAGGATTTGGTCAGGGTCCAGGGAAAATTAAGTGAGTGTTCCAGTGCTTAGCACTGAATTCAGACAGTAGATTTTTCTATCCCCTTCTCCCCTACACCCTTGTAATATTGTTTTTGAGATCGGCTACTCTGGTGTGGTAGTGGTTATGGTCTGAAGCAGGGGAAGAAGGAAGTTGGGAAGCTGGAAGGAAAGAAGAAAGGACATTAGGAAATTGGAAGGGAGGCAGGAAGACAAGGTAAGAGAGGGAAAGAGAATGAGAAAGAACAGAATATTTTAGACAAAGGCATGTAGAAAATCACAAGGTAGACCTTTTCAGAAAACAAGGAATCTTGAACTAAATAAAAAATCTCGTATTTCCCTTCACTTATTCTTGGGAAAAAATTTAACTCATTAGTCAAATTTAAAGACTCTTGGTAACTTTGTAATTGAAGTCTAAGTAAAATGTTGTTTATAGGTTCCCTTCTGGGTTTATTATTTTCAACTTAAAAAGCTGAACCCAAACTCAGGAATCTTAAGCGATATCCTATGAGTTGATCAAAATGAACTATCTTAAAAGCAGTTCCATATGATGGCATGCATGAGAAGTGTACACATTTTCCTTGCGCTTCTGATGTTTTGAAAAGCGTGTTCAGATAATCCCTCGATGAACTGACGGAACCTGCATCCTGCTCTTTCCTCTCGTTGGAGAGGCTGGGGAGTGAGAACCTAAACCTGGGCACTCACAACTCACTTAGAACCCTGTCCAGCATCCTGACTTGAGGGCCACCACTCACCACCCCTTCTCCTTCTCAGGCTCATTATTCGCCGGGATCATTTGTTGGAGGGAACCTTCAATCAAGTGATGGCCTATTCGCGGAAAGAGCTCCAGCGAAACAAGCTCTACGTCACCTTTGTTGGAGAAGAGGGGTGAGACACCAGGAGTTTTATGCAGACACCTAAGCGTGGGTGGGCCAGAGCCTCAGGATCAGGGGTGATTTTTCTCAGGAAGGAGCAGGGTAGCTGTCAGCCTTCACCCCAAGGCGATTCCCTCCCAGGAGGTCCTTCTTTTCAGGTATTGCCAAGCTTCAAAAAATGCCATGTTCTTCAAAAACCTAAGATTATTGACATGCACAAGAGGCTGAGATCACATGGTCAAAGGATAAGCCAAAAATACAGTCCCAGGGCACTGGATCTTTCCTTTTTAGGTGTTGTACGCTTCTGAGTATCTAATTTAAAAACTTCTTTCTCTTAAAGCATATGTATACAACTTCATGCCAAACTTTTCATATCATTTCAGTGATTTCATGGGAAACCACCTCAACCATGAAGGACAAGCCCACATGCACACACACATGCATGCACACACTCACTGTTGCAGAAAATTCTTTTATGTGTCCCGTGACAAAGGCCTTGTGTTCAATGGGCTGGCTGTGTGTTTTAGCTCTGAGGTGTTAGATGATCAAAAGAAAACACTAAGGAAAGCTACCATGAGAGTTTATTCATGGACATCTGGTTAAGAAACATCTCCAAACCAATTACTGCATCCTCATTTTCTTGATGAGGATTGATACTTCCACTGAGATTCACTCCAAAGAGCAGAGGCTGCTCTCTGCTTTCCCCAGCACCCAACTCTGAAAGGGCACACTAGAATTTGGGTGCGAACAGGTCCCCTCACCTCTGGGCACAGAATGAGCTTCCTGGACCTCTGCTTTCTTTGCAGTCTGGACTACAGTGGCCCCTCGCGGGAGTTCTTCTTCCTTCTGTCTCAGGAGCTCTTCAACCCTTACTATGGACTCTTTGAGTACTCGGCAAATGATACTTACACGGTGCAGATCAGCCCCATGTCCGCATTTGTAGAAAACCATCTTGAGTGGTAAGCTCTATAATGTTCACTTTCTTGTGTTTGAAAGTTCTCCTCTTTCTTAGTCAGAATTCAGAAGCATTTCTCAAAGGCCACGGTGTTTAGAGCAGTGGCCAGATGTTATGAGGGATGAGCGTGAATGACACAGCCCAAGAAGGAAGACTCTGTTAGTCTTCACCCAGAACACAAGATGAATTTACCAAGGATGCTGATAATGTATCAACTGCAAATTGATGTGAGAAAGAATAATTGCCTACTGAGAAGACACTAAGATCAGTAGACATAGGTCATGAATGTTGATAATGTTACTAAAATCATAAGGTCCCAGTGGAGGCTTCTTGGAGGTATTTATGGGTTTGAAATTCTTTGACCTTGGACCGATGTCTTTAGCACTGTGGACACTGGCTTCCACATCTTATTGTAAGATACGGCTATTGGGTCAGATGATCTCTAAGCATTCTTCTGACTTGAAAATCCAGTATGTCTTTGGTTCCTGGGTTGTCTGCTGTTGAGGCATTCTATTACCACTTACTGATATGTGTAGGAAGATTGGTATCAATCAATGCTGTGCAGTTTTGTGGTGCAGATGTGGGTATTAGAGGTCTCCAGAACACTGCTGGGACACCTGGGATGCAGGCACTTTCCTGCTGCATCACCACATGCCTGATTTGAAAATTACCGCTGCTCTGACCGCAGGAGCTCCTGCTGTTGAGAGGGAAAGGAGTCCTGGAGATGGCTAATGTGGGTTCTTCTGACATGGTTTATTTATGCTGCTGTTGAGGGGAGCCACTGGGGTAACACCTAAGCCTGCTGGCCTTAGAACCCAAGTTCCTATAGTTTGGCTATAAAGCATCAGTGTAACCCACCTGTGCTAAGGCTTCCAGCTATTGCACATGCCTTCTCTCCAAATGCACTCCCAGCCCCTGAAGTTCTTGAGCTGAGGTAGGGTGAGTGAGAGCACATCGAGGGTTTGGTACAAGATGAAACAAAACATGCCCTTTGTCGCCCCAGAACTTGTGAATAAGTGGATGATGGAGCAGAGCAGGCAAGTCACCGTGGAAGGGCCCGAGAATGGAATCTGCCTCTCACTGAGCTCACATTCAGGCAGGCTCCATTCTGATGGTAGAGAGTGCTATGACCTGTAACACAGGAATATACACATACACAGATTATACCTAATACAATCCCTCAGCTAGCTCTTAGTTTGTGAGCATTAAATTTAAGATGGTGTCTTAGAGGTCATGAATTGGAATCAGCAATCAATAGAGAAATATTTTCATCAAATATCTTACCATATAAGACTATGCTAGGTAGTGTCAGGAATACCTGCACTAATTTAACGATTATAAATCAAGCACATAGTGTGTGCTGGGAGGATACAAACATAAAATGAGCAAGGTCTCATGCCTCAAAGAGGCTAGTGTGAGGAACACATGAGCCAGCCAACGATCACAGTACAATAGCTTCAATGCTCACTTATTCACATCTACACATGTGGGCATGTGTTTGCCTGAGATACATAGATAAGCCTGAGAATTGTATTCAATCACAAGGGAAAAATATTTCATTCTGTCCGAGGTAGGGGGTCAGGGAGTGGGGAATGGAGTCTGTGAATCTTACAAAAAGAGGGGACAGTGGCATAGGACAACAAGGACAAGCACCACGGTGGGATGAATGAAAGCCGACATTTGAAGAAAACCTTGGTGTCAAGCATGTTTCAGTGCAGCCACAAAATAAGGCCACAGGTGAAGGCCTGATGGGAAGCAGAGAAGATACTGTGGCCCCCACTTGGCTGGACTGCCTGTTAAGAGCGGCCTCCGTCACTTTCCACAGTGACCATGCCTCACCTGCTGCCCCGTCCCTGCAATCAACCTGGCTTTGTGGCCTTCTTCTCATCCATGCATTGCAGGGCTGAAGAGGCTCTGTAGATGTTTCCGTTACACTTTATCACATTAAGGAAGGAAATTGTGTGATACAGGGATTTTGCACGAATTACCAAAGTTCTCTGGATGGATCCCTGATGAGGGCTTGGCAGTGCCTGCCCTCGAAATGCAGGTTAATCGCTGTGTCCTTTGCTAGAGGACTTGGCCCCGCACTAAGCATGCTGAGTTTCATCCACTGATGGTCTCATTCATGTGGAGAGTATTTGTGATGCATCCTGGAAACACAATTGCAGGTAGTTTTCTGAGCCGACTAGCAATCTAAACTGAACCCACGGTGATGAGATTTTCTTCAGCGCCACTCTTTGGATGCTGCTGACTTGTGATGAAATTGGCAGGGAACTCCCTTCTGATTTAAAGCTTCAACTGTGAATGCCTCAGGCCAGAGAGTGCTCAGCCTGGCATGCAGAACAAGCCCCTGCACCTCCACGGGGTCAGAGAGCAGATTGTATCATGACCTTCCAGGTGGAGTCACACTTTTCCTCTCTTATCAGTGGCTGCAAATTCCTGAGCAAGGGAAACTGGTTTTCTTTGCACAGAGCCACAGCTGACTGAATGTAAGCCACCTAAAAAGAGTCTTATTTAGATTTTAACAGGAAGCCCTGATCAGCTTTGGACATCTTAACAAAACCATGATGCCGCAGTTATTCCTTTTGTTTATTTTCACACAGTAAGCCATCTTGTGCCATGAGGCAAATAGTTTAACAAACAAAACATGCAGGTTTCACCTACCTTGTGCCCCTGAGTGGCTCGTTAAGCTCTTTGGCCAGCATTTTAGCAAAGGGAGGCTAGGAGAGCCCAGATCTGGTGATGCGGCTTTGGGTATTTTGCACAAAATGCTGGCAGTGTATGGGTGCTGTGGCACCTGCCTGAAGAACTGTCGCTGTCATTCCTGCAGCCGGCAGGTCCAGGACACTCGGGAAACCAGAAATCTGAGTCCTCAAATCTGATGGCCCACGACTGATGCCACTGGCTGCCTCTTAACCACCCACAGGGTGGGCGTGGCTGCTGCTGATCTCGGGTCAGTGTCAGGCGCTCCTTCCACCTTCTGAGGGAGTTCATCAGGAGATTCATGGAGGCTGCGAAGAGGATGACAATCACCAGGGCCTGTGCATCACTCATGAGCAAACGGAGAAACCAAAAGATTACAAGGCTTTTTATGGGCACAGCCTTGATTTTGTAAAGCAGGACATTGTCCCTAGACACAAGAGAAGCCAGGGCAGGATTTGACCTGCAGAGAGGACAGAGGTGCCTTCATGGACACCCACACCCTGCCCACCTTCCTTCACTCTGGAATCAGAGATAAGCATAACCACAGACCCGAAATAAACATGGCAAACACAGGTCAGCTTCAAAAGTTGTTGTTGGTTTTTTCCAAAAATAGAAATTTTATTCTCTAGTAAGGCATATCAGAAAATGCTGTGTAATTGGTATTCATCTTTTATAAAATTTATAAATGTATAAAACGCTGATGAGCTAAATGGATCTATTTTGTACTACCGAGCATAATTTTATATGTTATCATAATCATTAATAAAAATTAGATGAATTTAAAAGTCAGTTGCTTGTAGGCTAGTGAAATAGTGAAAGGACTGGAGTTTTCCCTTAACTGGAAGAATTGTTACCACTTAACATACACACGTTTAATACCGATTGGCTTGCTATGGAGGAATAACTGAGAAACCAAATGCACTGAGTAGAGTTTATATGAATGTTTTAACACAGCTGTTCTTACATGATTATACTTTTTAATGCCTAGCAAAAATCCATTATAAGGCTTCAAAGGATTAAACATCACTCAGGATTGACATGGTACTCAGCTGTGACTAGAGGCAGCATCTTTGCAGTGGTCAATTTTATCTTTTTTTGTTGTTGTTATTCTGCTTCTTTATCCTTTGCTGACCTTCTTCTGGGTCCTTTTACACATTTTCTGAGTTCCCTCTAAAAACTAAGTTCTATCAGAGCAGAGACATTTTTGTCTTATTTTACTCTAGCACAATGCCTGGCACTTTGAGGCGTTCAGAACAGCTCCCCGACCACTGGGTGCATAAATGAATATTATTCCACAAGTCACACCAGTCTCTTCCTTCTACCAGGGTTAAGATTAATAGAGTGCTCCTTCCTGCCATGTGCCATTAATTGCTCAAAGTTCACACTTTTCTGTATTGTCTGTGGTTTTAAAAAGTCAGCAATAAATGCACATGTCCCTTAAGAGCTTTACACTCTGGGAATCTGCTCTCCACGATGCATGAATGCTGCTTGTTACTGAAGGAAGGCCTCCTCCTTCTCACACTGCACGTGCTCCTGCAGCGACCACTTCCGGGTGAGGCACTGCCCGAAGACATCAATGGAGAAACCCCTGACACTGTGTCCGTCCTCTGAAAGCTCCCCTTTGAGAGTAGGTACTTGACATTCTGGGCTTCCTGCTTCCTGTGTGTGGGCTTTGTATCCCTTGGAATAGAGCCAGCTTAATCAAAAGCCCTAGCAGGGCATCATGATTCCACCCAGTTCCTTTCTTTCTAGTCCAGTGTTGAGACATACCAATATGAATAAATCTAGTGAAAATTCTGTGTTACACACGTTGAATAAGCTGGAAAAAAAAAAAAACTGTCTGTGGGTTTTGTTTTTTTGTTTTTTGTTTTTGGTCAGGTTTTTTGTTGTTTTTTGTTTTGTTTTGTCATATTGCCTTTGGCCTAAAGAGACTTTCTGCAATTGCTGTTTCATTACTGATTTGTACGACTGACTTCCATACTGAAAGGACCCTGTCAACGTCAGCAGTGATAATATTTAGGCCAAGGAGAGAGAGGAGATAGAATCAGAAGAGCTCTTTCAAAGCTGGAGCCTATAAGGGACTACCCATGGACACTGTGGTCACTCATGGACACAGCCCCGGCCAGACCTGGCCACAGTAGGTCAAAGCTGGGAAATAACCCTCTCAATCAACACTCTTCTCCCACTCTCCAGTCCGAATGGCCAAACCCAACCATAAACCAGAGGACAGAGGCTGTCCAGATACTGCAACCCACAGTGGCCAGTCCCTAGGTCACAGAGCAGGGCAGAAAAAGATGAGAA